TATCTAAGACAGAGCCAGCTAATACTTTCAAAGACCTTAAAATTGAAACAGGACAGATGTTAAGCAATTATTCACATAAAGCATTACTTACTGACCATGTGGTAGCACTCTGGTGGGGATAAAGTAGGTACTACGCTTGATCTTAGCCAAAAAGCCGAGAGGCGATGGGGACGCTGTAGAGAAAGGGGCTGTGTGCGCCGCTGAGGGGGCTCTGGGAGGACGGGGTACGCGGAGAGTGCCGTGGGAACCTTGGCTCAGAGGAGCAGTGTTCTGGGAAAGGGCAGGGAAGAATGAAGTGGCGTAGGGGGTGGGATGACGGGATGCTCACGTGAGGCTTGTCGTAGGGCAGACCAGCCCTGTGGAGCCTGAGACCCAGGGGGACAGCAGGGCTTGGGGAAAAAGCAATAAGCTTGATGCGGAGGGCGGGCAAGGAGGGCCGTGCCAGGCGATCTCGGGGGCCTCGAGTTAGCGCCCGAAAGCCTGTGATTGCCAGCCGTAAGGCAGGCCCAGAAATCACCTTTCATTTTTCTGGGTTCGAGACCCAAGTGGTGTCTCCTGGCTTTCCTCAGCTCTGAGAGAAGCTTTCTGCAGAACGGAAAGCGACGAAGTCAGATACTGAGACAGAAAAGAAGGCCTGGCAGAAATTTTGCCTCCATGAAAGAAGAAGCAAAAATAAATCGATGGTCCTTTGATGCCGCTGTACGGATGGACGGACAGCTTGGCTCAGGGGAAGTACCCAAAGATTCCCTTTCATTGTGCGACTTTTTTGTATTATTGAATCTTTCTACTGTGTGTGTTTATTCCCTATTGAAAAACAGAAGAAATTGATTGCGCAATCTTAATTGGGCTTTCTGGCATTCAACAAATATTTACTGAATAAAATTAGCACACAGAATGTGTTTTTGGCATTTGGAGACACTTGAAAATTCCTGATTAGTATAGGAATAGTTTTCTTTGTATAAATTTTCCTTTTATAACTTATTTGGAATGAGACTTGCTACAGATTGCAAAATCCACCAGGCCTGAACACGAACACCCTCGTTGGTAAGACAGCCTCAGCCTCAAACGTGCTGCTTGAACGAGCAAGGCGGTTCCTAATGCGTGCTCCTGGGGAAGGCGCTGGGTGCTGGCAGGGCCCGTTCTACATTTTTAAATAAGTTAGTGAATTACTGATGAAAGGATTTAAGAGAAAACACTTTGTTCTTTTTGCTGCTATTTAAAAAGCAAGAAAAAATGATTCTGTTTTCTTTTGAGTTTTAAAAAGTGATCTAAATGCCCAGCATACTTTTATCTTCCAAAAACAGTAGTGCTGAGGCCATGGCGTGCGTGCGCTCCACAGTCTTCCAAGCTCCATCAGGTGGGAGGCCCTTTCCTGGCTCTCAGCTGGTCTGTCTGACAGACGAATCTCAACACTGCCTCTCATTGTGTGTTGATTTCATTAGGGTTCCAGGGAAGGAATCGGCCCCTCGTTTCTCCTCAGAGAGCTCTAGCTGTCCTTCCAGCTTCCACCAGAGACACTGAGGAGCACAGAAAATGGGGCTATCCTCCCACAGGTAGTCTGAACAGGCCCCAACACTCACATCTTCCGCGCAGGCTCGAGTGGCTGGGCTTTGTGGCCCAGTCTGCCTGCCCATTCTGTGAAAGTGCTGCTGACGTGGGGAAGCATGTTTTGTTTAGATACCTGAATGAATTCCTGGGGGGGGGGGTTCTCAAGACATGCTAGAGCCTCCGAAAACAGGCCCTGTTGAAACCAGAGACTCAGATTCTTTAAAGTGTGAGTTGCTGGGTTGGAGGCAGGAACTTCGACCCCGGCCCCTGGGGTTGTTTCCCATGACTGAGGCCAGTGGAGGAAAAGGCCAGATCTACTTGGCCTCACTCAGCTGAACTCCAGGCTGGGCTGAAGTAGATCAGGAGCGTGTCGTTCGCTCTGCAGAGCAGCTTCCTGCTGTGTGTGTGGGCCTCTCCCAGACGGGCCTCCCCTTGATTTACCCAAACTGAGAAATAACTAAATGTCTGGGTCGCCTAAAGGACAACAGAGGCCAAGGGGCTTTACTAGTGACTACAAAACATTTCTTTATTCTCTTAAGAATGGACTGTAGCTTGTCACATGCATAGCGTTAGAATTTCCGGGAGGACACAGTAGTGACAAAGTTGAAGGCCATCTACCTTGAGCTATGTAACATAGGAGGCAGAGGCAGTCGGGCAGATGCTCCGTAGCCTCGCCACAGAAGGCTTTGTTTTGCTAGACTTCGCCTTCAGTATAATTGTACATCGTCTCAGCAGGAGCGACAGAAAAGCAAAGAGAAAGATTCTGGAAGTGATGTTTTTTTTTTTTTATTTAGAAGTTTATTGTTTAATCCACAAGCTTCATATAGCTTTAGTTTTAAAAAACAAAAACAAAAACAAAACACAGTATCACCAAGACACTATTCCAAAGTCCGGGCCCTTCTTCCAGCTTCCAGACACAAGAGCTCTGAGCATTATGTACCCCAATTGAAAGAATAAGATGAAAACATGAATGGAGCCATGAGATTTCAGAAAACAAAGATTTCGTATGACTGAAGGACCCTCCAGCCTTCCTGGGATGACTTAACTGCCTTTACAAGCAGGGGGAAAGGGGGAAGGTGGGGGCTGGTGACAAGGGAGGGAAGAGAGAAAAGAAACCCAGAACACAGGAGAATCCAGTTCCAATGTTCTGAATCAACATGTCGCACATCTGTTGAGCTCTAGGTTGAGACAGAAAAGTGAAAGCTTGTTTTTCTGGGAGTGATTTTTAAATGACATTTATAAACACTAAAATGTGAGTCCAGAGGTTAGAGTTGAAGATTAAAGGACTGTTAAAAATGGATAACTGGCATCCATAGGTCATACAACAAAATTAAAGAATCTGCTAGATGTAACCTTTTTTAACAAAAATTTATTAATTTTCAACCATTTCCCCATGTCTAATATGATTTTGAGGTTTGCAAAGTAAATGTTTTACAAATTTTAGTTCAATGAACATTATTTCAATGGTATCCAACATTCAGCAGTTCTAACACTGAGCAAATTGCGACCTCAAATGCAATCTGCAAGTTAGTCTTCAATCTTGGGTTAGTTATGGTTAGTTAGCAGTACCTAGAAATGCTAGACACTGATAATAATAGAATTTTAATCACTGAAAAGTAAAGTGTAAGAGGAATCAGAAATCACATGATAAGCTGGAAGCCCTGGGTTTGGTCCTTGGCACCAAAAACAAACCAAAAAAATAATAAGAAATCATATGATAGCTAGATTTTATACCATATTTATTACCAGGACAGCTAGTAGTTGATGTTAAATGTAAGAAACTTAGGGCCAGCCTGATAGCTCATCGGACTACATTAATGCCTGCTTAGGCAGGGTACAGCAGCTGGGGTTCGATCCCTGGCCTGCTGTGCCAGCCCTGCCCATGGGGCGACTGAGACAGCGATTGAGACTGGGCATGGTAGTGCGCACCTGTAATCCCAGCACTTGGGAGACTGAAAACAGGAGAATCACTATGAGTCTGATCTAGTAGTGAGACCCTGAAGACTGTGTAGAACCTGTCCTAAATACAGAATATAAATAAATAAATTTAAGAAACTTAAATAGCAGACTTGTTTTTTAAAGGTAATTTAAAAGAAATGACTAATTATAATGTTCATTTATGATAGATCAGTGGTACTTTAATACCATCCAAGTTTCTTTGGATATTAGGTAGAAATAAAATATAGCTCTTCTCAGAATCCTGTTAAAATGACTCCAGGGGACCAGTTCTTGGAAAGAAAACTTAATGAATACTGGCAGGGGAAAGGGTATTCCAGGATTATTTGTGGTGTTGAAAGGAAAGAAAATACTGATTAAAATAAAATGGGAGGAAATACAAGGGGGCCCGCGTGGATCCCCAGGGGAGCACAGCTGGGACGGTGTCACAGGTCGCTGGATTTCGGGCTTCAGTCTAATCAACGTGCTTCTCACACCCTCAGCTGATTGCAGATGGTCAGTGAACACATTTTCTATTGATCCTCAAAAACTCTTGTTTCCTGGTCTTATTTAACCCAATTATCAATTATTGTAGAAGGAAGAAAGATGCGGATTCAGTAAGGCAAGGAACTGGGCAGCCAGCATCATGCCTGGAGTTATCAAACCTGGTGTTGGAATCCCCTTCTCACGTCTAGCTCTTTGTTTGAAGAGGGGAAACATTGATTAGGAAGCTCGAGGAGACACTCCCCCCACTGAAGACTGATGGACTGTTAGCCTACACTCAGGACCCTGTCGAGAAATCTGTGACCAATTGGGAAAGCTTACTGAGAACTGATCAGTTGTGAAGCTCAGCACCTGGTATTTGGTTCTTATTGGGAGAGGGTTAACACTGAACTCAATTTTCATGTGTGGAGAAGGAAAACATACACCCCTTACTCAACAACATACCCCTTACCCAATGCACATGCCATTAAAGGGCAATAAGACTCAACAAAGTTAATATCCTCTTTCCTTACCATCTTGATATATTTGCACTTTAGCTGGGGGGGGGGGCTTTCCTAAAAGCCTGGGTTTTTGCTTAATGCATGTTCCTAAGTTTTATTTCTTTCATGCAAACACATCGTGTCTATTTTGTCCCAGCACAATGCAGATGCTCAGCAGACGTCTCCTAATAACAGGATTGGGAAATCCAGGCAGAGAATGAGCTGTTTTTGCTAACACAACTCTCTAAATCTCAGACCATAACTAAACTGTCTGCTAATTGCCCCCTGGGTGCTAGGCTTTCACTGGGGCCTTCTAAAATACACAAAACTAAAGTGAAGGCGGGACGCCATTGACACTACATAATTCAAGCAAACAATCCCTGTGTTTACCCTGCCTGGCTGCTGACCACCTGCCCTCCTACCCTACAGGCAGGTGTCTATATATAGGATGTCCCGTTCACAGTCCTGCAGAGCCGGCCTCTCATTGGAGCCTCGCCATCTGCGAACCCGAGGGGAGCGCTGTCCTCTGGCAGCATGTGTCTCCTCCTCCTCTGCGTGCTTGTGCTTCTACCCCTGGGGAGGGCCAGCTGGCACCTGGACGGCCGCCAGAACCATAGCCCTGTCTCCCTCGTGCTCCTAGAAAGGAGTCGCAGAGAGCTCCCCATGGCCAGCCTCGAGGACGCTGAGGACAAGCCAGACCTGTTCGTTGCAGTGCCGCACCTAGTAGGCACCAGTGGGACGGAGGAAGACCGGAGGCAGAGGGAGAAGATGCTGTCCAGGTTTGGCAGATTCTGGAAGAAGCCTGAGAGAGATGCGGATCCCTCCAGGGACTTGGAAAGTGAGCACTTCCCCCTGGCAACCCAAGCTCTCCCCGTGACTGGGATGAAGGTGGAGAAATCTCCTCTCCGGGAAGAAGCCAGGAAGTTCTGGCACCACTTCATGTTCAGAAAGGGCCCGGCTTCTCAGGGTGTCGTCTTGCCCATCAAAAGCCATGAAGTGCACCGGGAGACCTGTAGGACAGTGCCCTTCAGCCAGGTATGTGCTCACGGAGGGCAGGGGTGAGGGTTTGCAGAGCGGGGCAGCGGGCGCAGGGGGAGGGATGGGAATAGGCCGTGGGAGCCCGAGTCTCCCCTCCGTACGGACCTGGTCCTCGGGCGCTCGTCACAGGGCTGGGCAAAGCACACTCATATTCCCTAGGTTTCCTCCTGGCGTCTTCCGTGCTCTCGGAGATGCTACAAGAATAGCCTGCTGCTTTTGTCACTGCCAGGTGTCATCCCCTTGATGACAGAGAGCTTTGGATCATTTGTTGATTTTTAGATTGGGAGTAATTGACGATACGCAGTTAGAAGATTGGGCAGTTAGGGCCCCGGCGGCTCTGCGGCTGTATTTCTGCCTCGGTGAGTCTGTGCGTGAGCAGGTGCGCTTCACGTGTGGCCAGGGCGGGGGCGCCGGCTCCCCAGACACCTTCGCACCTGGTAGTGATGCTGTTAATCTCTGTAGTTCGGATCTAGTCACGTCACAGGTTTGTGAAGCCTGCTTTAATAGTTGTCGAGGTTATTTAACTTTTAGAAAATTATCCCACCACTTCTAAGTACATGGAGATTCTTGGCCCAAAATTGCCATAGTATTTCTAGTATTATGCTGGCAAAAATAATTTAGTTTAACTAATTTTCTCAAAAAGTTTTTAAAAAAGAATCTTAATGTAAGGTTACATGGCCTCACATTCCTACTTTCTGACTGATGTTATTTTGGGTGATTTATCACCCAAATAATACCAATGCCATATTACATATTAAGACAAAGGAGGGGCTGGGAAGAAGGCTCAGTAGAATAAGCACTTCCTTGGCAAGCTCAAGGGTCTGAGTTCAATCCCCAGTTCCCAAAAAAAAAAAAAAAAAAAAAGACAAAGGAGCTTCTGCCATCTCATTGCCCTGGTCCTGGCAATTGTCACATCACAAATGTCAACATGGAAGTGACAAAATGTCTCAAGTCCTTAAACCTGAAGACAGTGAACCAAAAGTAAGGGAAGGAAGAGTAAAAGTGAACAGTCTAATAACACTACCCAATTAAGTAGGCAGCATTTTAAGGGGTTGACCTTGCAAGGCAGTTAAGTATTCTTTCTGAACGGCCAACGGCATGAAGCAATCACAAGTCAATTACCCAAATCACAAGGACGGTTTTGTTGGACCACATGCAATTAGAAAATTGCTTCTAAAAATAAAGTCATCAAATTTCCTTTGAAACTTTTATTTTGAATGGGATTGCATATTAAATAAAAGTTAAGATGCTTGACTCATACTCTGAAAAGCACATAAAACTGAGCGTATGGGTTATGGATAGGCGGGTGATGTCAGAGCACATGCGTTGCAGCTCTGCCGCAAGCAGCTCCTGGATTGGAATGCGCTGCAGGCCCTGCGAGTAGATACAGTTGCGCTCGCGGCCTTCTGGTCTGCTGTGTGATCAACGCACAGATCCGTACTGAGCGCTTGCATTGTCCAGCGTACATAGCAAGAGGTGAGTCACAGGACCGGTGTGATTGCCATTGAAGTTTTTCCGTTTGGTTATACAGAACTGGGCAAAGCATTTAAACTTGATATTTATAGTATAAATTATTTTAATGCTAACTTGATGATTTCCTAAGGGTTAATTTAGAATTTACTCAATAAATTAAACTTAGTCAAGGAGGCTTCATGCTTTCAGCATAACATCACTCAGACAGTGTACGTGTCCAGAGTTGGAAAGGCTTGGAAACTTTACTGGAAACGATCCTGACCTGTCCTATAGTGCCTGCATCTTTCATAGTAGGAACATGACTCAAGATAACGTAAGGGAAATGTGTTTGCCTTCTAGACCGTCACCCACGAAGACTGTGAGAAAGTGGTCGTCCAAAACAAGCTTTGTTTTGGGAAATGCCGGTCTGTCCGTCTTCCGGGAGCCGCGCCAGGCTCCCGCTGTGTACCAGCCAAGTTCACCACGCTGCATTTGCAGCTGAACTGCTCCGGCCCCGCCCCTGTGGCCAAGGTGGTGATGCAGGTAGAGGAATGCCAGTGCCAGGC